CCCCCCCCCCCCCCCCCCCAACCGCGGTCTCCCCCTACCCATCCCCTTCCCCTTATCCTCCCTCAATTTTTTATCTTACTCGACTCTATAGTCAATCTCCCAAGTAAGGTTAAATGGAGTTAAAAACATCAAAAACCAAGATGGAGGAAAACTTGCAATGCCGGCTCACGAAGAGCAAGAGTGCCTTTATGGATAGCTATCAACGGTACCACCTATTACTCAGTTGGCATGGGCTAAGTGTGCGTTATCTCGGGATGATGGTGTTTGGAAGGTCATTGATGTCGCTCTGAATATTTTAGATATTATTTCTATTTGTCTATGTTTACTCTAAAGGTATGTTCAATTTTGGAGTAACGATGTAAAGGAGAGGAAAAGCGGAAATAAATTGTTAATTTTCAGGTGACACTGATTGGAATACTGATGGTGTAAACAAGGAGGCATTCATGAATTCACCGGAGAAGGTGGTGAATGAAGTTTCAGTGGGTGAGAACTGATAGAAGAGAGGAAGGGGGTGGGAAGGATGACTGTACATTGAGAAAAAATAGTCTTGTTCACATAGTGTGGAAAATGGCCATATTTAATTGTCTTTCCTATTGGGTACTCCTAAACAATTTTCCCCAAGATTTTTGAGTACAGATTTTTTATTTAACAACCTCATTTTCATGTCATTTTAGTTCATATGCCTTTACAGGTTTGTTAATATCATAACCTATCTTTACATCCAGACCACCTTTATTTTCTCTTTGCTCATGAGTAAGTACTATAATCCTGATAATAAACTCTGCGTTTTTGTTCAGAAATTTCTTGGGTGCTACCAATTCAAGAGCAAAACCCACCAAGATGAGTGCAGTCCAGAAGGATTGTGTAAGGCTGCAGTTTTTGCTATGCTAGTCGAGGAAGAACTTGAATCATGGCCAGAGCAGAACACACGAAGTAGGAAATGGTTAACCGTATCTGAAGCAGCAGATAGTTGCCGGCATCCATGGATGAGGGATGCTTTGATCGGAGGCTTTTGTAAGTGGCATGCTGAAAATATGCTTACCAAAGAAATTGTAGCAGATTAAGATTGCTTTTATTTTTCTTTTAATTAGCACTTGTCTGTCTTTGCAAATGGTTGATTGGATGCATTGTCAAATGCTCTAAACCATTTCTTGTATTTTCCATCTAGTTTTTGCGTACTTTATCTCTCTACTTCTCTTTATTTAGATGAGACACGTGTCAATTAGATAGACAAGGCTGGAGGCTTTTGCATGTAACAAAATCATGGGCTGCTTATTAACTTTTGTGCCTCTCTTGAAGAGTGATGCATGTATCAAAATTCGATATTGCTATGGTAACATAATGGTTGACCTAAGGAATGACATAATTTGATAAAAAAATATAAATGTCCTTCTTCTATTCTTTAGTCAAGTCAAGGTTCTCTATTCATATTAAGGATAAGTTTGATTTATATCTCCTAA